CGCCATCTTGCCTCCTTTGTGGTGGGGGGGGGGGGGGGGGGGGGCAAAATGGCTGCTTCTATCCTCTCCGCAGGGACTCTTGACCACCGTTGACCTCTGTCTGTGGAAGAATGACTGGTATTAGCCAATTTTCAGCCTTCTCGTGTGAAAAGGCGACTTGCCAGCCAGTCTATAAGGAAAGCTGTCCCAACATCCTCCTCCTCCATACGTTTTAAACATTTTGGAATCTTTCCATGAATTTTTGATTGGAAAAAAAGTGCAATTGTAGAGTCCTCAACAATGCGGCACCATTGGCTTCACAAGTTTTAAAATTGGGGTAAAAATTGATCTGGCCCCTCCCTCCTTTTTTATTATTATGACCAGTGACCTGTAACTCGAGGTGCCGCTCAGTCCCCTGTGCTATGTTCTGTGATTGCAAAGGAAATTGCTTCCTCTGTGGCCCGGTGCTGTCATTGGGTGGCTGAGGGTCACCACGAGTTGCACGGCGTTGGTAAATAGCAGTAAAAACTAGGGATGCACCGATACCACTTTTTTTAAGACCGAGTACGAGTACCGATACTTTTGATCAAGTACTCGCAGATACCAATTACCGATACTTTTTCTTAAAGGGACAGGTCACATTTTTTCTAAAGCAATACAAACTAATGCTTCAAGGTCACTTTCTTAATATTATGATTCATGAGATGACGAGGGAGCATGACGCCGGCTTCCCGGCCAATCAGAATGCCGGGGGCGCTGCGTCATTACGTCATTGCACGCTACCCGGCTTCCTGATTGGCCGGGAAGTCGGCTCCGTGCTCTCTCATCACAAGGGACGAGAGAGCATGGAGCCGTTTCCTGGCCAATCAGGAAACCGGGCAGCGTGTAATGATGCGCAGCCCGGCTTCCTGATACAGGAAGTACTCGTGCTAGGTATCGGAGCATTTGGGCGAGTACGAGTGCTCACCCAAATACTTGGTATCGGCGCATCCCTAGTAAAAACCCAGCAGAGGTTCTTCCCCTTCATCCCGCGCTACCTGAAAAACCTGTTTTGGCCGGGGTTCCTCTTTAAAGCACACACCCCACTGGTGTCCCTATAAGCCGGCAGTGCCGGCCGCACAAACATTGTTGTGTTGTGCGCAATGTGTTCTCTTGTCAGTGCAGAAAAGTACATTCTGTTCCGTAAGTGTCTCAGCGAATCACCTCCCCCCCCGCCACCCTCAGATCTGTCGTTCCAATTCAGCACAGGGATGGTGGCAGCCCCTCATAATGGGCACAGCTATTTATATATGAAATAGATGACGAGCTTGTTTTCCCTTTTCATGTTTTCCAGCAAAGAGCGTGCAGCGGCCGCATTAGCCGCGGCCTCCGGCCCCCACAGGGAGACCTGGTCCAAGGGCCCCTCGTACGAGGACCTTTACACGCAAGATGTGGTCATCAGCTTGGAGGAGCAGGAGAACCCGCAGAGGTTGGCGGCCGAGGGCAAACCAGCCAAAGAGAGGCCCATCTGGCTGAGGGAGAGCACGGTACAGGGAGGAGCCTACGCCGAAACCGCCAACATCCAAGATGGTAAGAAACTGGAGGGGGTTCAAGTAATATGTCTCCTGTCTGCTTGCCTGCCAGCGTAGCGCGGGGAGGGCCCTTCTGCCGGTGGCCGCCAGCGCGGGGAGGGCCCTTCTGCCGGTGGCCGCCAGCGCGGGGAGGGCCCTTCTGCCGGTGGCCGCCAGCGCGGGGAGGGCCCTTCTGCCGGTGGCCGCCAGCGCGGGGAGGGCCCTTCTGCCGGTGGCCGCCAGCGCGGGGAGGGCCCTTCTGCCGGTGGCCGCCAGCGCGGGGAGGGCCCTTCTGCCGGTGGCCGCCAGCGCGGGGAGGGCCCTTCTGCCGGTGGCCTCCAGCGCCTGAGGGATGTACATTCATAAACGCATTTACCTCTTTCCAGACCTGAACCCGGAGGGTTTCCACGACCACGAGGAAGGCCGCCCAGTGACAGACGACAACGAAGAGGTCATGCAGGCGCTGCTGAAACACGAGAAGAAGACTGCGGCGGCCGTCGCCGGTGTTTCAGCGGCTCCAGCATCCAGCGCGATCGCCGGCAGCGACTCCGACAGCGACACCAGCGAGTCCGACCAAGACAGCCCGGCTCCCCGCCGCCCCGCAGCTTCCCATCGCTTCGAATTGGACGACGACGACGATGACGAGTTCGAAGAAGTGCAGACGGACCCGAGGGTCACCGTTGGGGGGCGGAGCTACCTTTACAGCGAGGTGAGTCAGCGGCCCGAACTGGTGACGCAGATGACGCCTCAGGAGAAGGAAGCGTACATCGAGATGGGACAGAAAATGTTTGAGGACATGTACGAGTGAGTCTCCGAGTCAGACGGCGGGATGTGAGAACAGACGACGCATCCCGGCATGGAATCCCAAATCTCTTCCACAAACCCCCCCCC